TTCAATAGCTCCCCTATTGATGGACATTTGGGTTATTTCCAACTTTTTATTATTATATGTATTACAATACTTAAAATAAAAAAGCTTTTTGGGGATTTGGGGACTATTATATATAAATATTATTAAAGTTCCTCATATCAATTCATCTAAATTCACATCTACTCATCTTTAGGAAAAATTATATCAATTACATTCCCAGAAGCAGTGGTATTTGAGAGGACATGTTTCTCCATACTCTTGCCAACAAAAGCTATTATGTTATAAAGCATTAACAATCTGATTAGAAAAAAGTGATGCCTTATTGTTGTTTTAATCCATTTATTTAACTATGAGTAGCATAATACATCTTTCAACATGTTTATTGGCCATTTGTATTTCTTCTTTTGTGAATTGCCTTTTTGCTTCCTTATTTTTTTTTCCTATGGGAGTTTTCATTATTTCTTTTAAAGATTTATTTATTTTAGAAAGAGAGAGAATGCATGTGCAAATGGTAGGTGGGGGCAGGAGGAGTAGGGGCAGAAGGAGAGACAGAAAGAGAATCCTAAGTAGATTCCCTGCTGAGCATGGAACTGGATTGATCTGAGCTCGATCTCCCAACCCTGAGATCATGACCTGAGCTAAAATCAAGAGTCAGATCCTTAATTGATTGAGCCACCAGGTGAGCCCCCATTAATTTTTTAATTAATTAGTTTTCAGAAATCTCTATACCCAATGTGGGGCTTGAATACCAAATCCTGAGATCAAGAGTTGCATGCTCTACCAATCTAGCCTCAAGTTTTCATTATTTTAAAGAGTAGGATGTCCATCTCTATCTAGAAATCAAATACTGTATTCACTTCACTTATTTATTAACTTGATTCTTTTTTAATTTCATCTAATAGATAACATATTTTGAATGGAACCTGGAGATTCTCATGGAATCTAAAGGAAGCTGAATAATCAGAACTCAGGATGATTGAGGAACTTCTCTCTCAAGTCTTTAGGTCTCCCATCTTTGTTTCTCTGTTTCTGTCTTTCTGCAGATAGGCATTTTCTCGTTTTCATGGGTGCTCCACAAAGATGGACCCTTTTCTGTATTTCTCTCACTTTCAAGTAAACAGGCCTGTTCCACAAACTCACTGAGTTCAGTTCGAAATTCCTGAGAGAGAATCTGATTGGCTGATCTAAGTAAGCATCTCCCTCTGGTCCAATCAATGGGGGCTAAAGGACAGGGCCATGTGGGGCAGATATGGCTGCTGGAGGCCACATAGAGGGTCATTAATGATTTGCAGAAAAGGAGGTCATCACAGTTTGGATATATACCTAAAAGGTTTTGACTACAAGTTGCTATTATCATAAAATGTACCCTAATGCCAATTTGGACTCTGTTCTCTTAATCAGTTATGCTGTGGCATAATCTTAGCATTAGCTGGTCTTGGCAATTCTGAATCGTAAGGACTTAGAGATCTGGACACAATCTCAGCTGCCCTGGTAAGATGAATCACTTTTCTCCTAGACTTTCAACTTCTAATGATAGAATGGCTTAATTCCTTTAAGAAACTTTGGCCTCATCTGGGGATTTGGGATTCATTTAAAAATTTAAAAAAAAATTATTTATTTACTTGAGACTGAGAAAGAGAAAGAGAGCGGGGGGAGGGGCAGAGGGAGAAGCAGACTCCCCACTGAGCAGGGAGTCGCATGCGGGACTCAAACCCAGGACCCTAGGATCATGACCTGAACCAAAGGCAGACACTCAACCAACTGAGCCACTCAAGTGCCCATTTAAATTTCTCAATCGAGATCACCAGTCCAAGAAATTCAGAAAGAAACTGTCTTGTTTTGGGCATATTCCAGGCAGTGGCCTTTCCAGGCATAGCTCCTGACATTGTTCTGACATAAAACCTAAAAGCCCTTTGGGAATATTGCCATCAGCTTTTCTTCCTTAGGGTGGCACTCAGCAATTTGTCCCTTTGTCTCTCAACCAGTCCTTCTCTATCCATGCCTTCTTCCCAATAAAACAAAACACAGCTACAGAGCCATTATAGAAGAACCATATGTGTTATTAACCCCTCAGATTTAAGTGGAAACTCACATTTCTGTGAGTGTCCTGATTGGGTAATACCTCATTTTGGTCAGTGTTTTTGCATAGTGTATTGGAATGGGTCAGTTCTTTATTGTGTGTGGCTGACATAAGAATTGCAGATGTTTAGCATCCTTGGTCCTCAAGGAATTAATGGCTGGGGTACCACTTCCAATCTCATGAGAACTAAAAATGTCCCCACAATGTTTCATAAGTAATTTGAGGAATAGTTGCGCTCCTTTGAGATAACTTCTGCCATGAACTGAAGTTCTGAGCTACTTGGGTCTCTTATTTGCCAGGATCTCTTTGCATTTTATGGGCTGTTTATATGTGAGCTAAGACCCTAGTATTGCATGGGGCTGGCCAAGAGTTGTTTGTTCTCCTTGGGTCAGCATTCCAAGGGAGTTGTCAGGTTCCAATAACATTTTCTTCTTTTGGATCCTTGGTTAACACAACTTTAATTCATAGGTATTACAAGTTAACTTAAATTTTAGTCAGTAGACTAACATCAATTTCTGATTATTTTGTATGTAAGGCCAAGTTGAACTCAAAGCATAAAGGGAATTGTAGCAGGATATAGTGGATAGAGTGCTAAACTGGGAGTTTGGAGATCCCTTACTTACTGCCTAATTTTGAGTGAATCAGTTCCCCTCTTTTGGTTTCAATTTCTTCATCTGTAAAATGGGGAGGTTGGGCTAGACAGTCTGGTTCTTTTAGGTCTAATATTCGGATTTTTTTAATAATCTGTGTCCCCATTCCATTACCCATAAGATTGGGACAATATGTGTTTACCTCTGAGAGAGACAGAATTTTCCTTAATATTAGTAAAATATTTCAACATTGTGGCCATTCAAAAGTTAGGTCCTGGCAATGATCTAAGCTTCCACAGGTATTAGAGGCCTAAAACCAGTTTCTTTCTTTTTTTTTTTTTTTTTTTAGTTTTTTTTTTATTTATGATAGTCAGAGAGAGAGAGAGGAGAGGCAGAGAGAGAAGCAGGCTCCATGCATCAGGAGCCCGACGTGGGATTCGATCCCGGGTCTCCAGGATCGTGCCCTGGGCCAAAGGCAGGCACCAAACCACTGCGCCACCCAGGGATCCCTAAAACCAGTTTCTTATAAAATGTTTATAACTACTGTACAGTAGGAGTTTGTAAATAATGTATCTGTATGCTGATACAGTTGTTTCCCATAAGATAGTCATGTTGGAGGGGAAAAAATCATTAGAGAAGAGAAAGGGCATATAATTCAAATTTTAATAGAGGACAAGGAAGGGAAATGAAGTAGAAGGGGATCTAAGTGAAGTAGTAACATAGGCTACTTGTACCATTGTCTATTTCTATAGTCATGTTTATGGCCACAATAGTCATCATTTCTCGAAGTGTTTTTTAAGGAATAGGCACTGTGTTGAGCTTACATATTTTATCTCATTTAATTCTCACAGCAATCCTATGTGGGCAGGCACTGTGAATACCACTTATTGGCAGAATGAGAATTTGAATCTTACAGGTATGTGACCCAGAACCCAAGCTTTTAAAGCCATCATATTTTACTAACTCCTATTTGGTACTGGGACGTAAGGAAGTAGAATGCTTTCCCTTTCTAAAACCTCCTAGAAACCCAGACACTACTGGTCACTTATTCTAGTGCTGTGTGGCGTTGAAATCGTCATGGAAAACATACCCCAGGGGGATCCCTGGGTGGCACAGCGGTTTGGCGCCTGCCTTTGGCCTCAGAGCGCGATCCTAGAGTCCCGGGGATCGAGTCCCGCGTCGGGCTCCAGGCATGGAGCCTGCTTCTCCCTCTGCCTGTGTCTCTGCTTCTCTCTCTATGTCTATCATGAATAAATAAATAAAATATTAAAAAAAAAAAAAGGAAAACATATCCCATTAGGAATCTGAAATTGGGGTTCTAGTTTCACTGCTCTATATTTTTGGACAAGATATAAGCTTTCTGGATCTCCCTTTCCTTATTCGTAAAACAGAGAGCTACTGAAAGGTAGAAGGCCATTTCTTACTCATCTTTTTCCCCTTTGGATATAGCGGTGTTGGACAAATAGGAATGGAAGGGGGTAGACAAGACCGTCTCTATGCTGCCTTTCTCAATCTCTGATCTTCAGATGGGACCTTGACCAGGCAGGTGTACCATTTGTACAGCAATATTTTGCTTTCTATTTTAAAAACAGAAGAAGGGATGCCAAATATTCATTACTTAACCTTTACTTTGAGAGGGTTGGTCTTGACAGAATGAGTAGGAGATTGCGGGTGCTGCTGCCTGGACCTGTGATTGACGTTCGTCTCCAAGGCCTCCTTTACTTTCCAGAGACTTGATACCACTGTTGCATAACAGAAACAACACTGATAAATCGTAGTAACCCTTACGAAGGATGGCTGGAAACCAGGGATTCACGGCACTACCTATCCGGGAAAGCAGCTCTTAAAACTTAACGCAAACAAACCCTTTCAGGGCGAGGGGCAAACCCCTGACCGAGAAGACCGTCCTGCGTACACCCTGGTACTTGACCTTGCCCTGGTCGCTTCTCCTCCCAGACTGGTTTCCTCACCTGCAAAATGGTGGAATTGCCGCAGACCGACATCCCCGAGACTCTCCCCAAACCCCGAGCTCTAACTCCTCCCCTTGAGGGTGGGGGTGGGGCGAGCAGAAGGTCAGACCAGGAGTCACCCCCAGCCGCGGGGCGGTCCCTCTCCTCCTTCCCACTCCCCGCTCCCTCGCTCCACCGCGGTGAGGTCACGCGGGGGACGTCACGGGGTTGTGACGCCACCGAGGGGCGGGGCCCTGGAGAGGAAGGGGCGGGGCAAGGCGGGCGGCGCTTGCGCAGTGGGCGCGGCGCGGGAGGAGGCGGAGGCGGCGGAGAAGCGAGAGGCGGCGGCGGCGGAGGCGGCGGCGCTGGGGGGGGTGGGAGGGGGGGGAGCGAGAGTGTGAGTGAGTGGCTGAGTGAGTTTATCCCTATGAGGCGGTGAGAGGCCCGGGGCCTACCTCAAAGGAGCGGGGTCGCGGCGCCTGCTAGCAGCGGGCCCCCTCCCTGTCCCCGGGCCCGGCGGCGCGGCGGCGGCGGCGGCGGCGGCGGCGGCGGCGGCGGCGGCTAGGTTGTGAGGAGGCGGGGAAGCGGGTGTCCGGCCCCAGCCATGGAGGGCATGGACGTGGACCTGGACCCCGAGCTGATGCAGAAGTTCAGCTGCTTGGGCACCACCGACAAGGACGTGCTCATCTCCGAGTTCCAGCGGCTCCTCGGCTTCCAGCTCAACCCGGCCGGCTGCGCCTTCTTCCTGGACATGACCAACTGGTGAGCCGGCCCCGCCGCGCCAGCACTGGGGCCCGCGGGGAAGGGAAGGGACACCCGGGCTCGGCGGTAGGGCGGGCCGGGCGGGCACTGAGGGGCACCCCCTTCCCAGGGCGTGGACGGCGTGTGGGGTGCCTCGGGGACTGGGGAGAAATTGGGGGGCTGAGCAAGGCTAGAGAGGACAGCACGTACGAGGGGAGTGGGGGGCCACCGGGTGCAGGAGGGGCGGAGGGGAGATTGGGGAGGGGCTCCCGAGGTTCTGCGGAGAATTAGGGGCCGAGGAACGTCGGGAGAGACTGGAGTATGGAGGCACAGGGGTAGACCTGAGCGCCAGAGGGCTGTGGTGTTGGTTAAGAGTAAACAGAATAGGAGATATGAATTTGGGGAGTGGGAAGAAAGCTGGGAGTCTGGAGTTAGGGTCGAGGAAGACCAGGATAAGGGGGAACTCCGGGAGATGATTCGGTGTCAATGGAAGAACCTGGGGCACGGGAGAGACTTGGGAGTCGGGAGCTGAGAACACATATTGTGTGTGCGTGCGTGTGCGTGTTTGTTTGGGTTTCTCCATTCGAGGAATGATAGGGAAAAAGGAAAACAATGTTATGGGGGAGGACAAGTGAGTACGGTAAGAGAGATGACTTTCCTGAAGAGCTGTGCCAGAGAGGAGTGGGATGTGCGAGTAGATCCACTAACGGAAGACCAGAAGTGCTGGACCTGGGGCTGGGTCCGGGAAAGCCTTAGGAAAGGAGAAGGAAAGGAGATCATCTTGGACGAGGGAACTTTCTGAGGGGACTGGAGCCCTGGACCCCGGGATGTCAGAGTGGGGAGGGGCTTATCTGAAATAAAGCTGAGTTATTTGGGTTGTTTGGGAAAATGGAGAGCTTGGCTTAGGCTGGGAACCAATTCTTTGGCTTGGTGTCTCCTTGTAGAATTAAGGCAGAAGACCATGGCACTTAGACCAAAGGAGTGTTTCTTGGCTTTGAATGTAGCACTTGCTATTTTTGATAAGCAGGGCTTCTCCTTGTTCTAGGAGAAGGGGTTGTGGAGTTCACTTAGGGTGAGTGATGAAGTAGAGACCATTAGACTTACTTTGAAAGGATTTCAGGTGAAACAACTCATTTTTCTTTGGTCAGAAAGACATGGGATGAGTGCCCTTTGCTCTCTGTGTTTGGGCATTCAGTCCCCTGACATGTGGAATCTTGTTTCTCTTGGCATCACTTATACAACCAGCTTTCCCTTTATTCCATGTCCACTGAATGCCTCAGGCAATGCCAGAAAAAAAAAAAAAGAGGCTGTAAGCAAGCCTCCTCTTTATCTCATTCTTCTTCTAGTCCTTTCTGGAATGATGCTCATCTTACTTGTAGCTGTGGTCACACCAAAAGTGATGTGTGAATTTTTTTTCATTGTTGCATCATTGGTAGGTCTTGTTATTTTACCTTTAAACTTGATTGTTGTAGCAAGAGTGGAATTTTTTAGATTTTAGAAAACTTTTTGAGGCATTGAATGCAGGAGTAAGTCTTTATAATTGAAGAAGCATTTGTGATCCCCACTTCTATCTTTTATGTCTGGGATTATCTAAGAGAGGGACTACAGCTTCTAGTAGTTTTCTGAACACCAACCTATGGTGTTTAAATAGTCCGTGGTAGAGGTTATTGAAAACATTGAGAACAAGTATTACACTAGTGAAATTTGGAAGTAAAGCTGTATCTTGACGAGGGTTCTCTTGCCTACCCACTTCTGTACCTCCAGCTCTTTTTCTTCCTTGTTTACACTACTTTAGCATAGGAAATGGCATATTGTTGCTACCAGTTTGGTAGGGGAGGATCATTATTTCTCCCCACTGCTTTTTGAGTCGTACCACTTAAACCCTGCCCTTATAAGTTTTTAGTTCTTTAGAGTCAGTATTTATTAGTATTATTATTATGGCTACAGAACCTGTGTAATGAATTTTATATGTTTGAGGTGTGTGTGTTTAACATCTAAGATTGTTTGTTTTTAGGTGTTGTGAAAGATGAGGCCCAGTGTGGATAAGAAAAAAAAATAACTTAAAAATTATAGTTGCCTTATAAAAATTTTACTTGGATTTTTAAATAAAAAATTATTAAGCTCAAAGACACCATGTATTCTAATGAGATGACATCTGTAAGAAACAAGGTGTGATAGGGACGCCTGGGTGGCTCAGCGGTTGAGCGGCTGCCTTTGGTTCAGGGTGTGATGCCGGAGTTCTGTGATTGGGTCCCACATCGGGCTTCCTGCATGGAGCCTGTTTCTCCCTCTGCCTATGTCTATGCCTCTCTCTGTCTCTCTCTCTCTCATTAATAAATAAATAAAATCTTAAAAAAAAGGAGCGGGGAGAAACAAGGTGCGATACACTTCTGAACAAAGCAATGAGCCATTAAAAGATGGATTCAGGTTTTAAAGTAGTTAGAAATTAGTAGCTTCTTAGAAATCCAGGCAATTAAGTGATAATTCAGCTTTAAGCTACATTACCTTATTTTTTGGCTGTAGAAGTCATATCAGGCTTTAAAGTAGTTAGAAGTTAGTAGCTTCTTAGAAATCCAGGCAATTAAGTGATAACTCAGCTTTAAGCTACATTACCTTATTTTTTTGGCTGTAGAAGTCATATTCTTTGTCTTTGATTATAAAATGAAAAACTATTTCTGAACTGAAAGGAGGTTTGGTATTCTTTTCTTTCTAATGAAAGTAGTTAGTTAGCTGCAGTATTGTATTTTGATTGCTATTTTGACCTGGCTAAATTTGTCTTCTTAGATTTTTGTTTTAAACAAATACTCATTATAATTAATAAGATCTAGTTAAAATAAATGAAATTGTACATGTGTACTTGGTCAAAACATTTGTGTGTTAAGAAATACATAGTCTAGGGGCAACTAGGTGGCTCAGTGGTTGAGGCTCTGCCTTTGGTTCAGGGGGTGATACTGGGGTCCTGGGATCGAGTCCCGCATCAGGCTCCCCACAGGGAGCCTGCTTCTTCCTCTGCCTATGTCTCTGCCTTTCTCTCTGCTTCTCTCATGAATAACTAAATAAAATCTTTAAAAAAAAAAGAAATATATAATCTAGATACTTATTATTTTTAAGTATCATTTAATATCCAATTTTGTAAACTGTTGAGATAATCCTAATACTGGTTAGCAAAATCTCTCTCAAATTGTTGTGATTAACCTGTTGAATTTGAGATGATTAACTTTACTGTGACTTCGTAAGTGCCTGCTGTGCATTTTAATAAATAACCATCATTTAGTTGTTTGATAACTGTTAGAAAATAATATGGTAAGTTAAAAATTATTTAAAAATGTAGGCCATAAGTTTTCTAAAATGAAACTCAAGTTGGAAAGACTATGCTTCTGTTTTCAAAAGTAAGTATTTTTTGTTTTCAGTAACAAACAACTTTTTAAGAAGCTGTTAAACTAAATTGAATGTTTTGGCTTTGTAAATTATCTACCCTAGAATTTTTTTTTTTCTAGTTGTTCCTTGTGCAGTATGTAGATATATTTATTTGTTTAATTTGGAACCAAGTATGTTTCAATGTAAGCATTTTTTTTTGTAGTGATAAACCTGAGTTGGCAGCCATGCTGCTGGAGAATTGATAGAACTGCCTCTGAAAAAAAGTAGTCAATTTTCAGTTCCTAAGTGAGTACATAAAATGAATAAATGGTGTGAAAAGACCCAATATTTGAAGCCAACTGGAATGGCTTATAGATTAGTATAACTTTCTGTAGGAAAAAAAAACAAAAACAAAAACAAACTTTCTGTAGGTATAATGTCTTGCAGAGAGATACTACTAGGCTTTGAGTATAGAATCTGGAATTCTAAAACTGGAAGCTGGCTTAAGAGATCCTCTAGTTCATTTCAGTTTTTCCTGAAGAATTGAGTATAATACTTCCAAGATTGCTTATTCTTACATCCCTGAGGGCAGAGATTTGCATGATACCTTATTATTGTGTTTAATTACTTTTCTAGTTAGAATTTTGTCAAAACTAAATCTCTCTTACTACAATTTAGACTTTTTCATTGCTTATACCCTCCTTGGAGATGGAGAATATCTAATAAACATCTTCCTTAAGAGGTCAGAAAGTTTCTGTTAATTCAAATCACTAAAGCTTTTTAACCTTTTATAATTTAAGCACATTCAATTTAGTGGTTTCTCATCCTTTAATGTAGTCTAATACATTTTTTGTTTTAAGGGGAAACCAGCATAAAAATTTAACGTAAGCCATTTTATTTAAGTGTACAGTTTAATGTTACATAAGATTTTAAATTCACTTCTGGCCTTCAAAATCTTTTGTCTCGTGTTTTTAAAGTGAGTTCTTTAGCATTTGTGACAAGAGGCAAATAACACTTTTAGATTTTATTTATTTTTTTAATTTTTTTTTATTATTTTTATTTTTTATTAAAGTAGGCTCCGTGCGCATCTTGGAGCTTGAACTCAAGACCTCGGGATTGAGAGTTGCATGCTCTACTAACTGAGCTAACCAGATCCCCTAGATTTTATTTTATTTTTTAATACTTCTAGGTTTTTAGAGGACATTAACTTAGGAGTTACAGGTATAAATACAATAATTTTGACTAGCATATAGCCTGTATTGACTGTTCATTTGGCTAGTGCTTTGCAGTTGTGGTGTTGCAACATCCTAGGTTACCTGCAGGTATCTTCAGGAAGTATTTTGTATTTTTTGGAACATTACATGTGCCCATCATGGATGGAACAGATGTTTTCTAGAAAAGTAACTTGGAGGAAAATGTTTTTATACAGTCTTGTCCTGTTGACTTTGTCAACATTGTCAGAGGCACCCGACTGGATAAAATAAAGGTATAACTGACACAGTGAAGCAAAATCAGAATCTAGACATGAAAATCAGTTGTACCTCTTATTTCACAGTACCTCTCCTGCCTGATCTTAATCCATTTCTCAGTCACCTGCATGGTAAATGAGTTTCTGATCCATTCTCTGGTTTATATGCATGAGTCTAGGAAAAGTCCCTTTATAA